TGTGTGTGTGTGTGTGTGTGTGTGTGTGTGTGTGTGTGTGTGTGTGTGTGTGTGTGTGTTCTCTTACATCTGGGATGAAGGGAGGATCCAACATGTTGGCCTCTAGCCGTTTGAAGTTGATGTTTCTGAAGATGGGGTGCTGCTTGACCTCTATGGCCCCGCAGCCCCGACAGCCCAGCCTCTCCTTTGGGTCCTTGGCCAGGAGCTGAGACACAGCAGGGAGGGAGGAAGGAAAGAGAGATTTAAACATCCAAACATCTGCCCAATGCAGCCAGGCAGATCCTTTATGCTTTAACATGTTTCTTGTTAAAAGAGAGCACAAAAGGAGGTCTGTTTAGGAAACACTTTGACGCTGGGTTCAAGATGCTCCTAACAATTCTATATTTGTTTAAAAGAAGAAGAAAAAAAACATGGATAAAGTTTGTAAGTGGTCCTCTCTCCTTATTTTAACAAAGAGCTCAGATTCATACACTCAACTGTCATGAGACATAGGAATTGAGTGAAAGGCAGAGCTTTTTCAAAGGAAAGCATTTGATCAAACCTTGAAAATTACTAATAATTATGTTTATATAAGCTTAATTAATGATTGATATTTTTGTTGGTGGTTTGTGTCTTTGTGCAACACATATTTACTGCAAATCCAAAGGAACATTACTGTGTTTCAATTCAGAAGAATATCTTATGCATCTGATGATATCCCAGAATTCATTGTGCCATCAGCAAACTAACCAGAAAAACAAAGATGGCTGAGTTTTTTTATTTATTTATTTTTTATTTTATGGCTGAGTTTGGAAATTGGTCATTTTTAAATGTAAGTTTAGCAACTTGGCTGATGAAATTTATGCTGCAATGAGATGTTAAATTAAAATAGCGGAGCTAAACCCACACTATACTGATGATGTCCCTCACCTGTCTGCAGATGTCCTTCGCCTCCTCCGAGAACTTATCAGAGTACTCCTCCTGGTCTTCTCGCACCCGTCTGTCCACCTCTTCCCGCTTGACTCGCTCTTTGCGCTTGCGGAAGGGCGACTGGCCTTGGATCATCTCAAAGATCAGGCAGCCCAGCCCCCACCAGTCCGGGCTGAAGGTGTAGCTCTCGTTCTGGATCACCTCGGGAGCTGACGAGAAGCCAGAAGTGAAGAAAACGTGAAACCGTTTCACATCTCCACTGAGGATCAGCAAGACGATAATCAGAGTTCACAAGATTTTGTACGACTCTGAAGAAGTTAAAGGAATGTTTGGAACAGTTTATTCAAAAATATGATAAATAGCTCAAATTAAAAAAAGTTTAGAAAGGCGATAAATAAGTCTCACCCATGTATCCAACAGTCCCCACTCTCCCTCGTATCGTTTCCCCTTCAGGGATTTGAACAGCGAGGCCCAAGTCGGAAATTCTGATGTGTCCTAAACAAAACCCGCAGACCAGTTATTTTACTGAAATCACTGTAAATATTTTCAGTAAAATATGTTTGCAACTTAGGAAAAACAACCACTTGCATACAATACAAGACACAATACTGTCTGGTCATGTTGCACTGAATTATAGCTTTTTTATATCAAAAAATTACATTATACATTATATACAAAGTGAAAAAATGAATTTGTATTGAAAATCCCTTGGACAACATAAAACCATATTGTTGAGGTTTTTAATAAAAAGTTTTACTAATATTTTGTTTGTGTTTTTCTAGTACATTAGCCAATTCTGCACTGAAAATAGTTAATGTAAAAATATTAAATCATATAAACAGACATACCACGGT